ACTCTCTATTTCTGTGCTGGGTTCGATAATTTATTGCAATGACCACACAGAACTCACAGACCATACTCAGAGTTATGGAGTTTATTAGGAAAGTAACAGGTTACAGTTCAGGAATGCTCGGGATACAATTCTTCCATCAGGACAACCTCTTTTCAGCTGTGCCCACAGGCATGCCTTTCTCTGGCCCCTTGGCCTCTGCCCTGCTCAGCAAGTGTTACAAAGCTCTTTTAGCTCTGTCGATGAGTGCCCAAATGCACCCCACTCCTCCAGTAAGCCTCTGCCGAAAGACACTAAGCTCTAGCTCCATGGATCAGCACACCAGCTCCACCAAGTACCTGGAGGCACCCTACTCCTCCAGCAAGCCTCCTGCCCAAAGGCACTCAGCTTTCTTGCTCCATGGGCTGGGAAGACCACTGCCCTGTCTCCTGCTGATCTCTCCTGCACTGCCTCTCCCTGTCTTCAGTGTTGCAGCTCTCTCTCTCCCTCCTGGTTCCAGGAGCTTCTCAGCGCAGGGTTCCCGGGTCCAAAGGATACGCTGTGCTCATGGCTGTCCTTCTTAGTGGTGGTGGAATCCTCTCCTTCTCACCTCTGGGATGGCTCACTTCAAGCCCAGTGGGATGGCAAAACTGACCAATCCCCTTGGTGGGCCACAATTATTCTATCTTCACAGTCCCATCCAGTCACTTGTGTGGGAGTTACAAGACCATGGTGAGAAAGGCCACACAAAAGTGATCCATTGCACTGCAAAACCCTTAAAAGATATATGGTTCCTCCAAAATTTCTCCCAGTTTGTAGGTTATCGCTTCACTTTCTTGATAAAGTTCTTTGATGAACAAAAGTTTTTAATTTTGATGAAGTCTAGTTTATCTGTTTTGTCTTTTTTACTTGTGCTTTGGTGTCATATCTGAGAACCCATTGTTAAGAACTAGATCTCGAAGCACTACCTCTGCGTTTTCTCTTCTAAAAGTATTATGGTTTTAGTTCTTAAATTTAGGTCCTCAATCTATTTTGAGTTAATTTTCATATATCGTATGAGGTATGGGTCCAGTTTCATTCTTTTGGTTGTGGAAATCTAATTGTGCCACCACCATTTATTAAAGAGACTATTCTTTCCTCTTTGGATGGACTTAGCACTCTTGTCAAAAATCAACTGACCATAGGTGTATGGGTTTATTTCTGGACTCTCAATTCTATTCCATTGGTCTATATGTCTGTATTATACCAGTACCAGACTGTTTTGATTACTGTGGCTTTATATTCTGAGATCAGGAAATGTGTGTCCTACTTTGTTCTTCTTTTTCAAGGTTACTTTGGCTATTTGGGGCCTCTTGTGGTTCCATATAAATTTAAGGATTGGCTTTTCCATTTCTGCAAAGAAGGCTGTTGAAATTTTGATGGAGATTGCACTGAAGCTATAGATTGCTTTAAGTAGTATTGACATCTTAACAATATTAAGTCTTCTGCTCCAGGAGTATGGAATGTCCTTCCATTTATTTAGATCCTCTCTAATTTCTTTATTAATGTTTTATAGTTTTTAGCGTACAAGTCTTTCACTTCCTTCGTTAAAATTATTCCTAGGTATTATTTTATCCTTTTGGATACTATTGTAAATTGAACTGTTTCCTTAATTTCTAAACAAATAATTTCTTTTATAGGGATCAGCACAAAGCTGGTTCCTATGAGGTGGAGGTTAAAGATGTCCCAAATGTCCAACTTTTCCAAGCTGCTATACCACTCCATCATCTCTAACATCAACTACTCCCTCTCCCCTCAGTACTCTCCCTCCCATCTTTGAGTTCCCTAATTTGCTGCAACACCTCACAGAACTCACAAAGAACTGTATAAAGGAAATGGCTGACGAGGTTGTGGAGGCTGGCAAGTTCCAAATTCATGGGTCAGGCGTAGGCTTCTCCTGACCTACGTGGCTGCACGGGCTGATGAACCCAAACTAGCAGTTCAGACCACAGGCTGCTGGTTCACAAGGCTGCAGAAGCTGGCAAATCAGGTCACACAATAGGCCACAAGCCCAAGGGGCTGTGGAGGCCAGTGAATCTCAGAATCAGCAGGTCAGACAGCAAACCTCTGGCTCAAGTCCCAAGAACCAGAGGTCAATCGATCACGAACAGGATGTGGGATCTAGATGCAGAGACAGAGAGCCCTGTCAGGACACACACATATATCTTAGATGCAGGCCACACCCTAGGGAAGGGCATAACTTGAGTAAGGGTAGGACTTGAGCCATACCCTCCTGCAAGGCTTCAACCCAAAACACACCCCGTACCAATCCTGCCTCATCAACATGTAGAGATCAGGATCCACAACACATAAAATGGAGAACAACCATACAATATTGGGAATCACGGCCTAGCCAAGTTGACACATAACTTCAACCATCACAGGTTCCATATACCTTATTTGCATAGTCCCACTCCATCATTGTATGTGAGTCACAAAGACTATGGCTAGAAGGGCCGTATTAAGTAACGTATTACACTGCAATTTCTTTTCAGATTGCTTATCGCTGATGTATAGAAACCCAGTTGATTTTGTGTTGACCTTGTATCCTGTTACTATACTAAATTAGCTCTAGTAGCCTTCTTGTGGATTCTTTGGGGTCTTCTATGTATAGGATCACGTTATTTGCCTAAAAGGTATAGTTTTACTTCTTCCTTCTCAATTTGCGTACCTTTTATTTATTTTTCTTGCTACATTGCTCCAGCTAGAACTTCCAGTACAATATTGAATAGCAGTGGTGAGAGTGAGTATCTTTGTCTTGTTACTGATTTTAAGGGGAAGGCTCTCAGTCTTTCTCTACGGAGTATGGTCTTAGCAGTGGGTTTTTCATAAATGTTCTTTATTATCAGGTTGAAGAATTTCCCTTCTATTCCTAGCTTGTTGATTTTTTTTTTTAAATCATGAAAGGGCATTGGATTTTGTCAAATGCCTTCTCAGTGTTGATTGAGATGATTATGTGGTTCTTTTTCTTTATTCTGTTAATGTGGTGCATTCCAATCCCTTCTTAGTGTTTAGTACTGCAGTGTTCCCCTGACTGAGGCTCACTTTAAAGAATGAATGTTGCCAGTTTTTAAAATAAGATTGTTTCAGTTTTCATCTCAATGCAGTGCTTTATTAATTAATTTGCTTTTTGGGAATGTAATATTGCACTAAACTTCTCTGAAGGTAGTCTACAAAGAAGAAATTATCTATTCTCTGTTCAATAGGGTTGAGACCAAATAATTAACTGTGGTATTTAGTCCCAACCCTGTAGGATCTTCATTCTCAGCTGGAGTGACTGTGAGAATCTGTGGTCTGTTATGAATGAGAATTCTTTGAATTGAAAGCAGCTGACTGTGGAAGGCCCCAGGAGACCATAGATTTGTTTGGGAATGGTAAAGCCACAGTCTGAGAAAATAATTAGGGAGCACCTAGTAAGTTAGTGGAGCCCTGGTGGTGCGGTAGTTAAGAATTTGTCTGTTAACAAAAACGTCAGCACTTCGAATCCACCAGCCACTCCTTGGAAACCCTAAGGGGCAGTTCTGCTCTGTCCTGTAGGGTTGCTGTGAGTTAGAATCGACTTGACAGCAACGGGTGGGTTAGTAAGTAAGTGCCAGTGTCTATGCCAGGCACTGAATATTCATGATCTTGAATCCCTACTTCCATCCATTAAGGTAAGTGTTATCCTCATTTACTGAGATTCAGAGAAGTTAACTGATTTGTCCAACCTCACACAGCTTATAAGTAAAACAAAACAACAACAACAAAAAACCAAGCCCACTGCCATCAAGTTGATTCTGACTCCTAATGACCCTGTAACAACCCTATAGGACAGGGTAGAACTGCCTCATAGGGTTTCCAAGGCTATAATCTTTATGGAAGCAGACTGCCACATCTTTCTCCTTCAGAGCGGCTGGTGGGTTTGAACCACTGACCTTTCGGTTAGCAGCCGAGCACTTTAAACATTGTATTACCAGGGCTCCCTCAGCTTATAAGTACCAGAATCAAAATCTGAACCTTGGTTTGGTTGCCGCTAAAGCCATACTCTTTCAATTCACTACCTCGCAGCTCATAAAGGGAGAAATTTAGAACTGCTTGATTCTAGGAGATACATAGAACAGAGCCAATGTTGAGCAACAAGAGCATGGTATGTTCAAAGCAACATGGACTTTGGCACTAGGCTTACCTTGCTTAGAACCTATATATCCCTAATAATTGGAGATGACTTGAGCCTAGTTATTTAACTTATCTGAGCCTTGCTTCACAAAACTTATAAAAAGGGATAACAAGCAACACCTGCCTCACAAAACAAGTGGATGTATATAAAGTCTAGCACTGGCACATAGTAGAAGCTGGATAAATAGTAGTGCCTTAGCCCCTGATCCTGTGGTCTACACTTAAGTTCTTGCAAAACAAGTGGTTATATATAAACACCAAATGCATCTATTTTCTAGAAAATTAGAAAACTTAAATGTAACAAATTTTTCTAAATAAGGTTATATTATAAAACAGACGTGTATCAAAACGTCCGTATCTGTTCACTGCTTCTGTTTCACTTTACGTAGGTCTGTGTTGGGACAGTATTTGTTGTCTGATGGTCCACTATATGTGTGGGAATCCTACTTTCTGATGCCCACAATGGTAATGTATAACCTGATGAATGTTACTGTGAGATCTACGAGACAAAATTTTGAAATTGAGCTTGTTCCATAAAATCCAGGCTATTTGATCATTATAATGAACTGTAGCATGTAGTGTTACTTTAGCAGTAAGCATAGTAGGCAACTCTTTTTAAGAGGTTTGGGAAAGCATTTTTGCCCAAAGCACTCCCCTGCTTACCTCGCTTCTGTATTGCCAAATTCCACAACTCTTGACATTCCAGTATCCAGTGGTCTTGGAGGAACTGCACTTCTTGAGACAGGTAATAGATTAAGTCATTCATCATATCAGGTAATGAAATACAGGGTTTATTGGTCCCTTCCTAAAAGCAGATTATTGATAGAGTGGCAAGAGAAAAGGGCAAGAGAGCCAGAGAATAGAAGACAAATTTACTGTTTTATGCGTGTTTTTGAGCTCTCCCTGGTGTTGAGAAGGATGAGAATTTGTATGCAATTTAACAGCAGAATATTTCTGTGTCTGGTATATTGGTAATGGAGAATTTCACCAACTGAACAGGAATGTAACTGCTTAAGTGTCCTCATCTATATATAATAGTCATAGGTAATCTTTGGGTAAAATTATACTATGTTAATCTCCTTAATTAATGTTCCTCCCTTCTTTTTAATAGAGATAATCATAAGAAATGAATTTTAATGTCTGGAATATCAAAGACATGCTCAGTATGCCTTCAGGCTCAGGGTAAGTTTTCTGATTATATTTTCTGAGGTTTAAAAGGGTTTTATGGTTGCACTGATTTCATAGAAAGAGCATTTTCTTCCTATTAGGTTATAGTAATACAGCATCAGTTTACTGTATAGCCACTTCCCCTTCTTTTTCCCTCTCCTGTTGCCATCGCACCCTCTCATGCTTGTCTTTTTCCTTTTGGCAGTTTTCTGATTATAAAAGCAATGTCAGTGTAGCCATGTATGTTCATTGAGCAATGACTCTGGGTCCCACACTAGGCCTAAGGACTATGAGGCCTGTGAGAACTAGACTTGGTCTAACATCTGGAAACTGTCACCTCAGCTGAGGTGACTTCTATTGAAACAGCAGGGAGCAAAATCAAGACAATGTTCAGATACATGTTCAGTTGTGTAGTACAGTTTGTAGTCACTGTGGATTTCAGAGCCCCTCCAGCTGCTTACAAGACTCATTGGGATATTGCCGCCTCCACTACTCCACCCCCGTGCTTACCTTGGTGTCCACCAGCCATACAATAGGCCTGCCATTGCTGCCTTGGAGTTCATATGAGTGTGCCTGATAAGTAGTGTACACTTAAGGGATTTCTAATTGCTTTTGGTGTGCTTTTATCATTAATTGGTTTCTTTCCACCCTAACACCTTCCTGAAGACAGTTATTAATTCATCAAAAACCTAGAACACTATTCTCTTTATTCCTTAAAAAAGAAAAAAAGTGCTTACAGTTGATACAGAGTAGGGAAAATCTATCTTTCTTAATTCCAGATCATAGCTTTAAGATGTAAATCCTACATGATTCCAGTAGGCTCACAGAAGCTGCTTTTTTCCCAGCCCAGCTAATTATTCACTTTGGCCCAAGACAGGAGTCACAGAGAGCTACTTTGAGCAGTGATTATGCAACCCATATTACAATATATGTGTGCAGCTCATTACCTTAGCTAATCTCAGGTAATGGTTCTATGAGCCAAGTAATTGCCCTTCCCTGTGCTGAATGATTAGGGTTTCTTTTTGTTTTGTATTAATAATATGAAGGTTCCTTGGGTTTAGAATATGTATTTGTATATGTGTGTATTTTAATGAATAGCATGTTTTATCAGGTTTCTCAGCATTATGTAACACAAATTGTTGAGATGTCTTTCAAATAAAAACTTGGAGACTGTGTTTTACTTATCTGCTGCTTAGGTGTTGTCTCTGTAGTAGGCTCTGTGCACTGTTTACAAGTGTGATTGTATCATTATAAATGTCACTAATTCCTTTATATGTGAAGTTTGAAGACTGGCATAGATACGCAGAAGTCTGCAGCTGGGAACATTTAAAATAAGCAAGGACAAGACACTAAAAGGTGAAAGGGAACAATATCTTGCTTCAAAAACAATTTTTAATGGATCTTCCTGTGCACAGACCTGAGTTGATCATATTCTTCAGTCTGGGCAAGGCCTAGCTTTTGTTCATTTTATCATGGCTCCTTCTCTCCTTCTAGTCCTGCTTCCTTCCTTCCTTATGGTATACACTCTAGGAGAATTCATGTGTGTCCTTCCAATTCACCTTCTAGACACTCAGTTACATACTTGTTTGGTGTATATGAGTAGGTTTAAAAATTTATATAAATAATATATGGTAGCACTCATTCTATTTTTACTTTTTTTGCATTCAGAGTTATGTTTTTGAGATTTATCCATGTGGTTATATCTAAATATAGCCTATTTCTTCTGACTCCTTCATCAGTTATATGCATATACCATATTTTATTTATCTGTGCCCTTAATGATGAACAGATTCAACTTTTAAAAAGATAATGTTCTCTTAATCCCTAAAAATTTTATGAACTTTAGTCTCCAAATGCTGTTATAGCCCAGAGTGCTGGTCTACAGGCATAATGATGTTACAGTTCTTTCTGTTTGAATTTCCATCTGATTATTCCCAGGTTATTGTAATAGAAATGTCTGACGTTCAAAATTTCCTTGCATTTCTTTATAGGTAGTGCTGGTAGTGTGCACGTGACTAGGAGGTCATAACAAGCTAGCACTCTTCCCAGAATATTCTGAAATGAAAAGTTGTGAATTAAGATTTCATTTGTTCAGGATGTTTGTCCACCTGATATACCTTTCTTTTCTTTTCTTGCTTAATTTCAGGGCTATTAAGTCATCTAACTGGAATAATAATCAGACTGATTACTCTAGTCTCAGTGATTCCCAGTTCCTCTTTGGATCTCAGTTTTGTCCAGAAAATTCAGAGACCCTGTCAGCACCCTTGGACATTGGTAACCACTTAAGACATCCAAAACAGTCACAACAGAATTCTCTGGATGTGAGTCTTATTTCCAGAATTTCTCTGCTCACATTTCACAGTCATTTTGGAGATAAGCCATAAAGAAGACATTCTGCTGGAATATATTTTAAAATCATTTATCTTTAAGTTTTACTTTTTCAAATGGATTTGTGTTTGATTGGTGACTCATTTGACTTGGTAGTCTGAAATGGAGAAACAATATTTGCAATTTCTTCTATTACCAAAGCAGCATAGAATAGTGCCAGTCCTTTCACCACTCATGGGGAAAGCCAAATATTTTAAGACATTTTCTAAGACTAGTTATGCTATTGTTTGTGAAAATTTCATGAGAAAAAAGAACTGTCATAAAATAGGGATAAAGTAACATAAATTTTATTTTAGATGGAAATTGTTTTCTAAGAAATTTCAGGTGCTCTGTGGATTTTAGTCAACTGTATCACATTATCTCCTTGTAAAAGAAGATTCCGAGGCCCAATGGATAAGGGCCAGAATGAGTAACAGAGGCTCTGGTATACTTGATTTTTTTTAGACTAACTGTCTTCTCTTCCTGTGAATCAGAATTGTTTTGATTTTTTTTTTTTTTTTTTTTTTTTGGTCTAGAACTAGATTTAATTTTATGTACAGATTTACCTGCATCAATCAGGGACTTAATGAATAAGATTAGGTCAATGCTTTAAATTAGTTAGGATATATTCTGAGATAAGTATTCCAGTACAAAAATTGGTACCCAGTGATTTAAAGAAATAAATATACTCCCTACAACTTTTAGAGTAAGTTTTGCCTAAGAATGCCACTGTCCGGTCCATGTCAAACTAATCCACAAGTCTTTAGTTCACAAGCAGCTGTTGTTGTTGTTAGGTGTTGTCAAGTTGGTTCCTACTCATAGCGACCCTATGCACAACAGAACGAAACATTGCCCAGTCCTGTGCCATCCTCACAATCGTTGTTATGCTTGAGCCCATTGTTGCAGCCACAGTGTCTTTTGAGTGCCTTCCAAACTGAAAGGCTCATCTTCCAGCACTATATCAGAAAATGTTCCGCTGCTATTCATAAGGTTTTCACTGGCTAATTCTTTGCAGAAGTAGACCACCAGGTCCTTCTTCCTAGTCCGTCTTAGTCTGGAAGCTAGCTGAAACCTGTCCACCATAGGTGACCCTGCTGATATTTGAACACCAGTGGCATAACTTCCAGCATCACAGCAACACACAAGCCCCCACAGTATGACAAACTGACAGACGCATGGGCAGCAGCTGAGCAAAAGCAATTTGAGTTAAACTTATTGATATGAAAACTTTAATACATCACCTCAGATACAGCATAGGTAATTCTCTTTTGTTCCCTTTAAATTTGTACTATTTGTTTTAAGACATTTTAGTTGACATTTTAAATATCTTTGGGCTGATAAGGCAGAAACTATGTTAATAAAAATAGATGATTTATTTTAAATGTAATTTTTTGGTGTATATAAAAATAAAGTATAAATACCACATGCTTTGTTTTTTAGCAGTATGTTTTGCATTTAAATATGACTCTGCATCCTATAGAAGATAGTGAATGCTATAAATATTTTTATGTGTTAAATACTATAATGATTTTTTTTTTTCATTTAACAGAGTGAACCTAGTATTTTCACAAAGTACCAGACAAAACCCCAGCTATTTGGAGGAGATACAAAGGATGGAGGCTTATTTTCTCTTCCTTTGTCAGTTGGAAAATCAAAAGGCCTCTTGGAACAGTTTGAGGAGAAAAAGAAAAGCGCAAAAGACAAATATGACAGGTATGCAAACCTTCCAGCTCATCTTTCTGAGGGAAACAGAAAACGGAGTGCCAATATATCATATAATTCAGTTTCAGTGTGATAGCACTCTTGCTCATTTAGTAATTACCCTTTATTTGCTTTCTTGTGACTGTAACTTGTAGTAGATTTGAGTATGTCTGCCACAATTCTGGCCCCTCTGAAAAGTAAAAGGACTTCTTAGAGAAATGCAGTATTCAGGTAATGTCATATCTATTCTGCCTAAAATTTTGCCCTTTAATTTGTTTTCTTTTCAGATCATCAGGATTAGGAAATTAGATATCATTGTTTTAGGGTGAAGAGTATAGTGCATGAATTCTCAAGTCATAGTTCAAGCTGATTTTCCCACTTCGAAATATTTGTATTTTTTAGACATATGCCAAATTTTATAAATATTCTTGTTTGTTAAATGTTTTATATATATTAAATAAATTAGGACTGTTATATTAATTTGTACATAAGGAAGCTGAAGTCACAGAGAAATTAACTTGTTCATTACTTGGTAGTAAGTTATTATAAAGGCTACGTCTTTGGGTATCACAGAAATCATAACAACCAAGCAGAAATATTTCATTTGTTATTTCTGTGACAGTGAAGATCTATCACTTAGCATCACTAGTAGTACTTTTTTTTTAACTCCTTTTTTAAAATTACTGTAAGTATTGTTGTTGTTAGGTGTCGTTGAGTCAGTTCTGACTCATAGTGACCCTGTGTACAACAGAACAAAACACCACCCAGTCCTGTGCCATCTTTACGGTCATTGCTATGCTTGAACCCATTGCTGCAGCCACTGTGTCAATCCATCTCATTGAAGGTCTTCCTCTTTTTCACTGACCCTCTACTTTACCAAGCATGATGTCCTTCTCCAGGGACTGGTCCCCTCTGATAACATGTCCAAAGTATGTGAGATAAAGTCTCACCATTCTTGCTTCCAAAGAGCATTCTGGCAGTACTTTCTCCAAGACAGATCTGTTCATTCTTCTAGCAGTCCATGGTACATTCAGTATTCTTTGCCAACACCATAATTCAAATGCATCAATTCTTTGGTCTTCCTTATTCATTGTCCAGCTTTCGCATGCACATGAGGAGATTGAAAATACCATGGCTTGGGGTCAGACACACCTTAGTCCTCAAAATGACATCTTTGCTTTTTAACACTTTAAAAAGGTCTTTTGTAGCAGATTCGCCCAATGCGGTACGTCATTTGATTTCTTGACTGTTGCTTCCATTGGCATTGATCATGAATCCAAGTAAAATGAAATCCTTGACAACACTGTAAATATATAGGTAACAAAACATTTGACATTTCAAAGATCTTCACATGTACAGTTCAGTGACATTAATTATGTTCATCATGTTGTTCAACCAGCACCCTTACCCATTCCCAAATTAAACCATCACCCTTAACAGATCAAGTTGCTTTCGATATTTGAACATGTGCTTGACACTAAGGCTGCTATAGGCATGCTACAGAGGGCTAAAGACTGAGCCAGGCTACGATCCAGTTGGGAAATTAAAAAAAAAAAAAAAAAGTACTTTTAAATAAACTGTCAGAGGCATAAATTAATGGTTTAAATTGTGTAGAGACTAAAGTACACTAGGAATCTAAGAAGAGTAGGGTCAGGTGGGCAGAAGTCGAGAAGTCTTCCTGGAGGAGTGAGGGCTTGAGCTGGCCTCAAAGGATGGGCAGGGTTAGCCTGGAGAGAGGAGAGATGGGAGTCATGCCAGCAAAACTGAGCCCAGCAAGTTTCTGAAGTGGAGAAAAGCAGACTTGGCTGTGTGCTGGAGAGGAGTAGGAAATTAGCCAGCTGACAAGTGGAAGATCCCCACCACCACCACCAGTTGCCATCAAGTCAATTCTGGCTCATGGTGACCCCGTGTGTGTAGAGTAGACTGTGCTTCAAAGGGTTTTCAATGGCTGTGACCTTTCAGAAGCAGATTGCCAGGCCTTTCTTCTTAGGAACCACTAGTTGGGTTCAATCTGCCAACCTTTCATTTAGTAGCTGAGTACTTAACTGTTTGCACCACTCAGGGACTCGTGAACATGATGGTGGAGGCCCCTAAGTGCCCAGCAAAGAGCTTAGATTAGATGGTAACAGCAAAAAGGGGCATCGTATGTTCCTGAGCACAGGAATAGCATGAAAGTAATGGTTTAAGAAGATTTACTTCACGTTGATGTGTTAGATTCTAGTTGGAAATATTGGGCCACAGAGAAAGTGTCTGCAGCTGTACAAGCCCCTGGCCCCTGCTGAGCAGATCTCCAGGTGGCCTGGAATAGTTGGGCACAACCCAGGTGGCTGCCTCAGTTACAAGCCCAAACTTCAGGGCAGGGGGCCAAGACCACTAGTACTTTTATGTTCAGAGAGACAAACAGAATTTCTTTAAGAACTTCTAAATTAGTTATGCTTTCTATTGTCTATCTCCCTGTAGTTAGAAAATAAAAATGCTCTATTTAAAGTTTATGATTTTGTTGATTAATAAACATTTCCCAGATGTTGATAGACTTCTTTCTCCTAGAAATCCAGGCTCTAGAACCTTAGTGTTTTCTCAGAGACCCCTTCAGGGCTATCGCAGGGGACCATGAAAATGAGCAGGTTGTTCCCACCCGCTTTCTCCTTCAGACAGAAGAGCCTTAATTTTTTTTTTTTTTTTTTGTTCTCTGGGCTTTTGGGTTATATTTTATTTGAACAATGATTCTGCAGCTAAGAATTAAAAAAAAAAATTACACATTGCTTTAGGTAAGTCCATTCTCTTTTTTCCTTTACTTACTTCTTTCTCTCTCTCTCTTTTTTTTTGTAGTTAAATGCTTTTCTATTAACAATTATTTACAAAATAATAAAAAACTAGTATTTATATAGAGAGAACAATTGATAAAGACTCTGAAGAATCTCTCTCCATTAAAGAAAAAATTTGCATTAAAAAATATTGACTTATAGGAAAGTGAAAAAAAGTAAAGACTAAGGGAGCAATTAGTCCAAAGGACTAATGGACCGCACGAACCACAACCTACATAACCCCGAGACCAGAAGAACTGTATGGTGCCTGGCTACCACTGTCGACCACTCTGACTGGAATTATAAAAGAGGGTCCTGACAGAGCAGGAGAAAAATGTAGAACAAAAGATCAGATCACAAAAAAGACCAGACTTAACTGGTCTAACAGAGACTGGAGGAACCCCCAGGACTATGGCCCATGGACACCCTTCTAACTCAGAACTGAAGCCACTCCTGAGGTTCACCTTTCAGCCAAAGATTCAAACCAAACCAAACCCGTTGCTGTGGAGTCAATTCTGACTCATAGCGACCCTATAGGACAGAGTAGAACCGCCCCATGGGGTTTCCAAGGAGTAGCTAGTGGATTCAAACTGCTGATCTTTTGGTTAGCAGCTGTAGCTCACCATAGCTCTTAATTACTGCGCCACCAGGGCTCCAGCCAAAGATTAGGCCGGCCTGTAAAATAAACGAGAGCCCTAGTGGTGCAGTGGTTAAGAGATCTACTGCTAACCAAGAGGTCAGCAGTTTGAATCCACCAGCTGCTCCTTGGAAACCCTATGGGGCAATTCTACTCGGTCTTATAGGGTCACTATGAGTCGGAATCGACAGCAATGGGCTTATAAAACAAACAATAACACACGTGAGGAACGTGCTTCTTAGATCAATCAAGTATACCAAACCAAATGGGCAACACCTGCCCAAAAACAAAGATGAGAAGGTGAGAAGGGACAGGAAAACTGGATGAATGGAACTGGGGAACCCAGGGAGGAAAGGGAAACGGGGAAAGTACTGACACAATGTGGGGATTGCAACCAATGTCATGAAACAATTTGTGTATAAATTTTTGAATGAGGAACTAATTTGCTCTGTAAACTTTCACCTAAAGCACAATAAAAAACAAAATTGACTTACATGATAAGCAGAAAAGCAAAATTTTAATAAATTCTGGTGAATAGTAAACCTAAGATTTTATATTCCTTGTTTTCTTTCAATATATGCAGGTCAGAAATGTGGTGAGAAGAAGTGAGAAATTTAAAAATTAGAGAAATCACAGCACTACAAATTTGGAAGTAGAAAAATGATGAGGCCTGATATGGGGTTCAAACATAAGAGATGAAAACAATAAAACATCAATTTGCATATTGTGTTTTGAAAGTACATATTTTTCTAAACTTATTGAAAGAACATATGAAGTTAAGAAATCTCAAAAGAAGCCTTAGTCGTTCAGATTGTATACGTTAGGGCTCTTTCAGTAGCAAATAGAAACTCACCTCAAACTAGCTTTGGCAAAAAGGAGAATCTATTAGCTCTCCTAACCAAATTGTGGGAAGAACAGGGAATGAAATGCAACCAGAATTTACACTCTCTTGTCTGTGCTTCTGTCTCTATCTCTACTTCATACTCTTTTACTAGAGACCAGCTTCTTACCAACACAGAGGAAAGGACTGTCTTCCTTTAGTTCCAGTTTAAAAATTCCCAAGGAAGGCTTCTGATAGGTCTGATTTGCTTAGGTCACAGGGGGTGGTATGGAGGGGGCTGTGACTGGAAGCCCTCACGGGAACTACTTTTAGATGCAGGAGAAAGCAGTTCCCCATGGGAGAGGAATGCTGGACACACCAAACAAGGATGCCATTACCTAGATTATTTTATTTATCATATTTGAGAAAACAGATTAGCCTCATTCACAATTAATAACCACAAATAGATCACAAAAATAACTGTTCTGTCAATAAATTCTTGATCATTGTAGTGAAGTTTGTTATTCATTCATTCACTCACTCAACAGGGAGAAAAATGGTATCTTTCTTTGAAGTGCTCAGTCTTGTTAGGGGAACAGACATGTAATGGATGAATTATACAGCTGGGCTGGAAACAAGTTGTAAGCAACAGAAATCAATTTTGACTCTTTTAAATAGAAAAGGGATTTATTAAAAAGAGAGTAGAATAGGTTCTGGCTCCGGGTAAGAGGGAGTAAGCACACTCCATCCT